AGCGTCCCCGGCCTCCTGGCTGCTGGGGCTGGGGCTGCCTCTGGTCTTCCTCGTGGCAAGAATAAAGCTCCGCCGCCCGGAGTGGGCACCATGCGAGGCACGCGAGGAGGCCAGCAGGGCTGGGAGCGGGGGCTCGCTCGGCCTTTCCCTCTGGGCCTGCTGGTCCCTTACAGAGCAGAGCCTAGGCCCTCGTTGCGACCCGCCTGGCAGCAGGGAACAGCTGATCCCAGGCCCTTTCCCTGTCGCCGCTAATCCGCGCCCCCTCCACTAACCTGCGGATTTAGGGATGTGCCAGGACCAGGTCACGTTCCCGGGAATGGAAGCAGCGGGCCGGGGAGTCACTGCCAACTTTTCGTGGCATGACGGGCCCTACCGATTTCGGTTTGATGGTGCTGCAGCCATTGCACAGTGTCGGGGTGGGGGTGGGGGGGGACGGTGCTGTTGGAAATCTATTGGACACGGAATGATTCCCTATTTTCGAGAATAAACTGCACGCATGAAACTCCCACCGAGGAAAGGAGCCTCGCGGGGAGAGCGGGAAACAACCCAATAAAGTTCGGGATTTGTGGATGGAGAAGTGACAGGGACAGGCCGCAGAGACCCGTGCGGAGTGCCGCGCTCCCTCTGCCAGCAGCAGGCTGCACGGGGGCCCCCAGTAATCCCTGCTTTAGGCAGGGGGCAGGCACCAGGCTGCCGTTTGGCCAGTTTTTTAGGATTCCTTCTGTAGGTCATTATTGATAAGTTTTTCTCTTAATAAGCAGAGTCCCTACAAGGCCAGGGGAGCCGCGCCCGGCGAGGCGGGGCTGCGGGGCGCCCCTGCGCCGGCGGGGCTGCGGGCCGCCCCTGCGCTGCGCCAGTGGCTCCAACCCGCTCTTGCACTTGGCCTCCCCTCGTAACGCTCCAGGTCCACGTATTTTCGATTTGCTCCTTCTACAAACTGTTTAGAAATGACTAGTAGCGGATAAGTAAATTGCAAGTAAACCTAGTGAATTAGGATGATTCTCTATCAGTTTAATTTATGTTTTATAGTTAGTTTAGCCTTCTGATTTGATTGCCTTAGTAATGTGAATTGCCTACAGCTGCTGATGATACAGCTTTAATTCTGTTTTAAAGGTCATGTAAACATGTGCCTGTAGCAGAAGGAATGCAAATTCAATTCCCTTTTAATGCTTCCTCACATTCACTTCGCAGCCTTCACCTAGAAAATTAGCAGGATTTAATATAAAACTGTTTTAATGTTATGATTTCATTAGACTCCTCTTTCAATGCTCTCCTCTTCCTTTTTTCAGGCAAGGGGCCACGAAGTCTCCCTGTGCTTTGCGTTGCGTTGCTTACCACATGCAACACGCAGCACCAGTCACAGGCGAAAACGTTGGGGCTGAGATCAATAGACTTTTATACAGCTCCTTTTACCAATAAAGCTTCATTAACTTCATGTCGAGCTTTGCTTGGCTGTAGGGAAGCGACCTGCCCCTGGACCAAGAGAATCCAGCACATTCTTGCCACAAAGGAGACAGAAAGTGATGCAGGTGCACATTTGTTTCAGCTGGTTGTTTCTCTAATTTAAAA